GGCCTCGGGTTCTAATCGCGCGCTACACCCGGCGCCCTCCCCGCGCCCTCTGCCCTTGAAGCGGGCCTCCTCTCTCGTCCTCGCACGAATGTTTTCTCCGGGATGACTTCCAAAAAAAAGACACCTGTCTTAGCTAATTCAGTGACCACTGCATTTACTTGATGTGGTTCATTGTAGCTTTGTGTTCTGCAGAGTATTGTGTGTGTTTTTTTCCAGCATGGACAGGCTTGGGCTCAAACCCGGCTCTACCAGTATTAAAAGCTGAGAGACGGTGTAAACGTCTGTGAGCCCTCAGTTTTCTCATCTTTAAGGTGGATAGAAGAATAACAGGGTTTTTTTAAGGGTTAAATAAAATGAGATATGAGTGATGCACAGTACATTGTGGAGCAAATATTTGTTTCCTTCCTTTTCCCTTTTAATTAAAGCAGTTGAGTCTGTTTTCTAAGCCCCAAAATACCCTCTGGCATCAAACCCCTTTTTGGTAGAACAGAAAATGTTTATACTTTCCCCTTTTCTTCTGCTAAAACTTAATGGTAATATAAATTGAGCCTCACTCATATTAAATGATTCACTTGAAATACATAGAGAAGTTGTAATTTTATTCTTTTTTATTTTTAATGGGCTAGTAACACTTTTCTATTTACATGAATTATAGATCCTAAATTCATATACCCCATGGGAACTCTGTAAAGATTTATGGAATTGAGAAATATACCCACCTTCTGCTTTTTTTTTTCTGACCTAAAAATTCCTCTAACAAGCAAAAATCACTTGATACAATTTCAAGATAAGACTTTGAATTCAAGACATAATTATTTTCCAAAGGATTGTCAGAAGACCTGTCTTTTAATTGCAGTACTTTGTGATTTAGATATTCTCAACATCTTTTTTTATTCATAAAATGGAAATAATGGCACCCTCTTCCCATTCTCCTGAAATTGTTAGAATAGTAGATTATATTAAACTAGAGGCCCGGTGCACGAATTCATGCACAGGTGGGGATCCAGCCGATTGGGACCATCTCACCCAGTCCTGATGGGAGCTGGTGGCCAACTTCCTGCAGCCCCTCCTGCTGGCGGGCCCAGGGAGGCTGGCCAGGGGAAGGGGCCATGGGAGGTTGGCCGGCCAGGGGGAGGGACTGCGGGAGGTTGGCTGTGGGAGCACACTGACCACCAGGGGGAAGCTCCTGTGTTGAGCATCTGCCTCCTGGTGGTTAGTGCACGTCATAGCAACCAGTCGACTGGTCGTTTGTATGCTTAGGCTTTTATATATATAGATATAAATGTAAGTATATTTATCATTGAATAGAAAATATATTTTAAACATCGGTTTTATTCTCATTTCTTCTATTTTGACTTGCAGGTATAATAAGATTGATTTGGGATAACTATGAGGAATAGACTTTAAATGCAGTATGATAAGCAAATGATGTGGAGGGGGACCAGTGATTTAGTGTCATGCAATTAGCTTGTTCACTCTGTCTGGTTTTCTTTCTGTTGGTCCCAAGAGGAGTACTGGAAAATTATAAATGAAATAATTCAAAATGCATATATACTTGCTACATAGTTACATTCTTAGGCAGTAAAGTTTAGATTATTTTTTCATAATTTATGCTTTGATGGTTACAATGAGGAGGAGCTCTTAATGTAACTAGGGCTGTTGTTTTTTAGCAGCAGTAAGAGGCTGGTGAGTCTACTTTGCAAGGTGGATAGAAGCCTGAGAGCATTATACAGTTAATAATAAACCTTCCTAATACCTTCCAGAAAATACCGTATTTTCTGTTAATATTAGGGGATGATCGGGACACACAAAAAGGAGAAAGAGCTGAAAGGAGGAAAATACCTTAACTTGGGCAAAGAAAAGCTATCTCGCTTATACATTTTTCAAAATAAGGGTGAACCAAATAATGTCCTCAGGGACATGTTTACATGGTCTTGTTCTGACTGTAAGGAAATAGTGTGTTGCTTCATTTAAAAGAGCAGAGTTGAGGGGGGGGGGGGGGGGGGAAGAGAGAAGAGAGAGAAAAGAGATTGAGAGCCCTTTATTGCCCATTTTGATTATTCTTTCAATTTAATAATTTCATGGTGTTTTACTTGTGACTGTTGGTTTAACATAGATGCTCTCTACCACTAACAGTGAATGACTAATTTTACAATATGGGAGGTAAAGTTGTTGGTGTACGTATCAGTGCTTTCTACAGAAAAAATTGTATGTTGTTTGCAGTCAGAAGTTACAAACTGGTAGCCCTTAGATTCTACCTGCAGATATGTTTGATTTGGCCCACATAATGTTTTACTGCTTTTTAAAATAGTTGCCAATCTTTTTTATTAAAAGATACCACATAAAAATAATATTTTTTAGAAAAATCACAGCTTAGACACCAACCCTGAGCCTACAGTCCCACATTGCAACAATGAATTGGAGCTGAAGAGCAATTGTGCCTTGCAACTTGCCACAAGCCCAATAGAGTTCTTCACTCATTCAAATGAATTCCCTGGCCCCTATCAGGACTTGACTTGGGGACCTGGTTTTAAATGAATATCGTGTTAATAAAAGAAAATATTTTTTTTTGTTTTTTACAGTAAATCTAAATATTGGTTATGAGTAATCTTATTTCTTCTATTTTAGAACAGTTGAGTAGATTTGCTGGATTTGGTATTGGACTTGCAAGGTAATGTTCTATCTAAATAATTTTAATTTTTATTTATAGTTTTTAATGTTATAATAAATGATTAGTAGTGTTCCCTTTAGATTGATTCTTTGTAGCAGTAGATTAAATATTGAATAATATTTTGCAGAAAAAATTATTTAAAATTTATCAGTTAATTTTTTCCCCCAGTAAGGACAGAGAATAGTCATTAAATTTTATAATCACAAAATAATTTTTAAGGAATATTGTTACACCTTTCATATGTATCTATCCAAAGAGTAAATCATTAATTCTAATGTTATCTCTTCTCCAAAAACCAAGTCATTTTACATTGAATCTTTTTTTTTGATTGAATTATAACAAGATATTTATCAACATGGAGTCTAGGTTTCAGTTATAATCAGCATTTAATGAGCATCATTTTTATTTTTTATTTTTAATGATTTTTAATGATTATTTTGTATTAGAAAAACCTTTAGTCTTGATTTATGTGACCTGTAGTGAATACTGTTTCAAAAATACTGAACTTGCACAAAGGCTGATATATGCTAACAAAAGTCATTGTTTTAAACATTTTAATCGAGAAAAAATGACCTTATTTGTATGATTAAACTTGAGGATGTTAATATCAATAGAAATAAAATTTGTGTATTAAGGTTTTCCTTGTGCTGTAGTTAATTTTTCTTCAGCCTCACCGTTTATACTTTAAAAGTCATTATCATCCTATATAATAAAAGCCTAATATGCTAAGTGTCCAACCATTCATTTGACCAGTTGCTATGACGCACACTAACCACCAGAGGGCAGCCGCTCCGACCAGTAGGTTAGCTTCCTGCTGGGGTCTGGCCGATCAGGACTGGGTGAGACAGGCCAGATACACTCTGGAACCCTTCCATGGTCCCTTCCTGGCCAGCCAACCTACCGCAGTCCCTCCACAGCTGGCTGGCTGGCCCTGATCGGCCGGCCCTGATCAGGACTGGGCGAGATGGGCTGGACATTCCCTGGAGTCCTCCCACAGTCCCTCCCTGGCCCTGATCGTGCACCAGTGGGGTCCCTCGGTCTGGCCTGCGGGGATCAGGCCAAAACCAGCTCTCCGACATCCCCTGAGGGGTCCCGGATTGTGAGAGGGTGGTTCTTGGGTGACACACCCCGGAATCGGGCTCGCTCCTCTCTGGTTCTGGGTGTGTTGCCTGAGAACCGCAGCTGCCAAGTCACCACAGCTCGGCAGCTCCTGCGTTGAGCATCTGCCCCCTAATGGCCATTGGGCATCATAGCTACTGGTCAGACAGTCGCTTAGGCATATCTATCTATCTAAATAGATAGATAGATAGATAGATAGATAGATAGATGCATCTATATATATGTGTGTGTGTAGATGTGTGCATAGCCATGCAGGCATGTGTTACTGTTAGTACTTAAGCCACAGTTGTAATTAGTGGTAAATACTTTCAGAACTATTTTGTACATAAAATACTAATCAATTAACATAGTCATTGAAATCCCTATAACTTAAGCGCAAAGTACATCAAAAACAAAATTTATAGAATGAGATTTATGAAAAATAGATAGCTCTTCTGATAGGAACTTTGTGCATAAGACATCTGAAAGAAATTGAAAGGGTCATTTAAATTGTCTAGGGAAAGAGTTTCCCATATTAGATATACAGAAATGTCGTTTCATCTTTATATTATACATGTTAGTATTATATATTGTTTCCCTTGACTATCAATTTCCAAATCTGGCTTTAATTCTTTTCATGTTGAATTTTGTTACTGGTACAATGATTTGTAAACATGATATTTTTTAATTTTTTTTTTATTTTAAGAATGGGAAACAAAATAATGCATGATTCTTCAAACAAAATTTATTTCAAATACATATATGTTATAAATTAAATTTTAGCTATATTACATATATTTATAAATTATTCTTATATAGTCTCTTTACAGAAAATGTACTGGCTCATCCTTGCATTGTTCTACGCCGCCAATGTCAGGTAAATATACTTCCTATGCAATAATCCCAACTCTGATTTGAAGTACAGAACTCAGCCCAGCTGGAGTGGCTCAGTGGTTGAGTGTCTCCACATCCCAATGAGAAGGGACTGGAATATGTGCTGCATCCTAATACTTTTAAAGAATTATTTCACTTAAGTATTGGTCCTGACCCCCTTTACTGACTTTATGATTTGCTAATTGTTTATAACTTAGAGTTGGAAAATACTAACCATTGGGAGACACATATCTCCTGTTCCTGAGTTCTTTGTGGTTCCTGAATGCTTTGCCACACTAAATGTAATTTGACTGTTTAAGGAAACAAAAATATCAAACCAAAAGGCCCTATTACATATGCTATATTATTGTGTATATTGTGCATTGGTTTTCAGGGTTATATTTATATAACCATATGTACTTTACTTTTAATAAGTTATTTAAAGCACTTTTAAGAGTAATTTTGCATTGCTTATGTGTAATTTATGCTGACTTTAGAATTGAACTTTTGTTTATGATGTGACTCCACAGTATTTCTTTCTTACCCTTGTTATTTCTTGCAAAACAATAATAGAAAATAATTATGAAATATATTTTTTAAAGGTTAATTACCATGCTCGACAGTATCATCTCACTCCATTTACAGTCATCAATATTATGTACAGCTTCAACAAAACTCAGGTGAGAATTAGTGTATAGATTTTGTTAAAATTATTTATGTGTCATTTTGCCTTAGTAATAATTAAAGCAACAGTAATTTCTTATAATCTAGTTAATAAAAATATCTTAACTCTTGTACTAAAACTAATGTAACATGATAATGGCATCTTTTTGGTGTCACTGAATAATCAGTGAATTTACACCTTTGCCAAAATTAATTAAATATTAGTGGTATTTAATCAGTATTAGAGATACTCAATTAATTGGAATGTTCATCTTGGCCTAAATGTAGGCTACCAAAAAATATTAAAATAATGTTAGAAATTAATTTAGTTGTAGTTTTCCACTAAAATGTCCTTTTAAATAATGTCTCATTGGAAATATCAGTAAACATTCAATATCAAGTTTTATTAAGTCCCTTTTTTTGGTGTTTCTTATTTACCAATTAACGAAAATAACAATAAATTTTGTTTATTGTAGGGACCAAGGGCCCTTTGGAAAGGAATGGGAAGTACATTTATTGTCCAGGGAGTCACACTTGGAGCAGAAGGAATAATTAGTGAATTCACACCTTTACCAAGGTACCTTTTTTGGCATTTTCTCAATATTAATGTCATATTTAAAATATAGCAAAATATAGTTTCTAATAATACCTTGAATTTAAAAACTTGACTTGCCTGAAGTAGCTAAGAGGAGAAACAGAAAATAAATTTAATTGCTATCTTATTGAATTAGCATATGATAAAGATAACTGCTTCCTTGTATAGTATCTATTGAGATATGTCTTTCAGCTCCTGCTGCTGTGTGTCAGCAACTAGCAATTAAGGAATAAACACGAGTATGTGAGCAATTCCTGCTCTTTAAGTAGCTAGTTTGATGAAGGAGACACATGTAAACAAATTACAGTACATCATTACGTGTGCTATAATTAAATCCCTTTCAGAGCCCAAGGGACACTTTGCATAGAGTTATTGTTAGGATTTCAAAAAAGAACTGAAATCTGAGCTAAGTCTTGACTTATGGTCAGGAATTGACTTGGCAAAGAAGGAGAGGATTCAGAGTAGAGGTGACAGCATGCCCATTGGAGGTTGGAACATCTGGGTAATAAGTGTCTTATGCTAAGAATAGTGAGCATGTATGGAGTGGAATAGAAGGAAACGAGGTTAAGATGCTAAACTGAAGCATGGCAATGCCTTTGTAAGGGATTTAGGTTTTATTCTCTGTGAAATTGGGAATCGAAGGTGTTAGTTGTTGTTTCTTTTTGTTAACATAGGGGTGATTTGATCAAGGATAATATTCAAGTGATAGTGTGGGAAAAAAGAATGGTGTAGACTGTCAGTAATCTAGGGGGGGGAAAAAAGACTTGTGCAGAACTGTCACTAATGTAGGCCAGATTGAGAAGGGTTTAAACTGTGGAATAGAATAGAAAACAATGAGCTGGAGAGACATTTCTGAAGTATATTTGATAACTGGTGATAGATTGGGAATGGGCATATGGGAGAGTGAGTTGTCATCAGTAACTGAGATTTCTAGATTGGAATCAAGTTGAAGAATTCATGAAGGAGAATAAGTTGGAATGGGAAAGAAGATAAGAAATTTAACCTTCAATAGATGATGTTTGAGATTTCTGCAAGACAGTTAGGGGGAACATGTCTAATAAGTGGTTGGAACCGTGGGTCAGAGTCTTAGAAAAAATTTGAAGCTGAAGGCATAGCTTTGAATGTAGTGATATAAAAGCAGCAGTTGAAACATTAGGATGGATGCATTTCCAAAGGCGATAATGTAGACTAAGTGACAGGAAATGGACCAAACACAGAATCCTGGGCAATGTGTGAGTGCACACATGTGTGCCATACCTGTATGTGTATTAGGAGAGGTAATTGAGGGGAGTAATAAGAGATGATCACAAAACTCATTGAAAATAGCAGCAAACTGTAGAACAGTAATGTCATCGAAGCCAAGAGAGGTGAATTGGAATTGTTAGATACATTTGAAGGGAGAGGGTAGAGAAATGGGTAAATTTACTTGTGCACCTGTTTTCTCTCTGAAACAGGATACAAGGTCATTTGGTGAAAGAAGAATGAGGGAAAGTATGAAAAGAATGAGGAACCTAGGTTCTCAAACTTAATATGTTCTTGAAGGCTGTTAGAAAACTGAATCATGTTTTCCCATTAGAAATAATGTAAATTGAATTAATCTGTTCCAGATCCCCAAATGATTCCCTGCTTTAACCTTTCTTATATACAGTACATATTTAATTACTGATTAATCTATAAGTAAACACTTTAAAAACAAAAAGGACATTAAATGTAAGTGAAAATTTAACAAAAAAGAAATGAAAAATTTCATAATAATAAGCAGCAACAACAACAACAAATATTCACAGCATAATTTCCTGAGATGTTAACGTGAGATTTAGTGGTAAAATGACTCATACTCCCGCATTCTCTCCTTTGTCGCCTGAGAGATCAGTGACTGATCATATAGGTATCATCATTGAAAGGGCTGTTGGTTTGAGAAGTGAATTGTTTAAGATGGGAAACATTCGAGAACCAGGTTCAACTGTATATGTTTGGGACAGTCACAGCTACTATGTGTAACAGAATGCAAACCTTACTAGGAATATATGAAAGGAATGTTAATAGATAATATTGGAAAGCATAAATTAGTGTAAGTGCTATTTGGTAGGAATCTTGTGATTTTTCCCTATCAACACTAGATCCCAGAGATAGCATTAAAGATCTTGAATGGTTTGCTAACGTAATTGTGGTGATAGAAATGTACTAGCCTCAGAAGCTACTGTGGTGGTTCATTCTATCCTAGTACAGTGTAAAAAAGAGATTTTGAATGGTTTGTTGATCCAAAGGTGGCCCCAGGCAGGTGAATTTTTTGGGTTGACAAGGAAGTGAGGTTGTTGCCGGTACAGTCAACTGGCATCTCAATCTTGGGATTCAGTCTTTCTAGGGAAGAAAATGAAGACAGGCGAGACTGATAGTGGGCTTTTTGCCAGTGTTTGCTTTCAAGGACTGTATAGTCTTGAAAGTCTTGAAGTTCTTTTAACACAGCTTTGCTAAATGTTATAAACAAAACAAAACATTTGGCCAGCGACAAGTTTCCCATCATACTTTAAAAATCTGAATTTATGATGTTGGCTAACTTTATTCACCCTATTGCTTTTTATATCACAAGATAAAATGGGAAGTTAGTACTTGTCATCAAATGTTCTTGAAGTTCTGCCAGAAACACAAAATTTTATAAAAATTTAACAAATTTCAGGAATTTCTGTATGGTAAAGTGTAAAGAATTCTACATTTGCAGTCAGACACCTTTGGTCCTGCCTACACCACTTTTTAGTTCTGGGAACTTAGGCAAGTAATGACACTTCTCTAAAGCACAGATGAAGTAGTAACTTTCACTCCAGGTTGAGAAGGAAAAAAAATGGGAATGGGAAGGCACAGAATTTTATGAAACTTTCTCATTCTGTAGACATACAGACACATCAGATTATGTGGACATTTTGAATCATATTTAGGAAGACATGAGAGGTTATCTTTGTTGTATTTTATCTGGATAATTTTGGTAATAAGTCCCACTCATTAATTAATTTATTTACTTAATTTGCTAATATTTCCTGAGCACCTACTATGTTCTAGGTCCTGTACTAGAAATCAGGTATACAATGAGAAGAAACAAAAAGTACCTTAGGTCTAGTATAAGGGACATTCATTAAGTAAAATAATCCCACTAATGAATAACTAAGTACCAGTTGAGATTGTTCACAGAAGAAAAAGAATATGGTCCTGTGAGAGTATTAAAGGGTTAGGAACAGTGTCAGTAATAAAATGACACTTGTTTTTGTGTAGATTATGCATTAACTATGTATATTCATCTATCAAGTGGAAGAAACACGAGTGCCTGATGGCTGCTGAAAGGACAAATAAGTTGCCAACTAAAAACTGCATTGGATTTAGTGTCATGCAGGTCATGGGAACCTTGGCAAGAACTGTTTTTGTTGGAATAATTGGGTAGAAACCAATTTGAAGTGCGTTTAGAGGTGAGTGAGAAGTTAGGACGTGGAAATAGCAAACTTAGGAAGTTGGCTGTGATGAGAGATGAAAAAAAGTAGCTGAAGATGAGAGGTTTGGGTTGGGTTGAGGGAAGATTTTTTTAAGAGGGAAGCTATTTGAGCATGTGAAATGAGAGACAATGGAAATTAAAGACTGCTTAACTATAGTTATTTAGATAATCGGGGAGGGGTTGGGACAGGGCAGGCTGGAGAGGATCAATGTGGGGGGAAGAGAACATATGTAATACTTTCAACAATAAAGAATTATTTTAAAAAACAAAAAAAAATAAACATTTTATTGTTTTTGTATAGATTATGCATTAAGACACTATCAAATAGAAAACTATTTTGAGAAAAAGCAAGTCACTTCTCTCAGTTTTGTTGCTTGTTTGAAGGGTAGTTTTTGCTTGTGAAAACAGTGATTTAAATGTATTTACACAGGTTTTGGTATTTAATAATGAAATATAAAAAGGTTTAATCACAAGTAGATTTCTACACTACCCTCTTTCCTGAAGCACTTAAATGTGCTAATTTAAATTTCTAGAGCTGTGGCTGTAAGTTTTACTCATTTTATAAAGGAGTAGAGAATAGATACAAAGAAGAAAGTCTCAATTTTTTATAATTGATTATAAATTTTATTTTTCTCTCTTTTACCTTAATAATCTTCCCTTAATAATTAGTTTTGTATTCAAAGGGAAGATGGCCCTGTCCTTTCAGAAACAGGCCACAGACCCATCTGTCCATAATGTTAATAACAGTTTCATGCTTCAAATCAGTGTCATAATAGCCTTGAAAAGAGTAATAGTGCCCAGATGACTGGCAAACCATGTAGCATATTTTGTTTTATAATTATAAAGTCACTGTCAGTAAGATGAAAGGCCTAATTTTTTTTGCATTTTTCATCTTAATCATTAAATGTCATTTCGGCTCTATTTTTCTGTGGTTGTTCAGGCCTGTAGTATTCTAGTATTAATCAGAATGTGACCCAGAAGGTTCCCCAGGGTCTAATAAATCAGAGAAGGTTATTCTATTGTCTAAAAATTTATCTGCAGACCTCTCAGTCTCTTAGAAAAATGTAGGAAAGTTCCCATACCACCCGTGCTATAATTGTACTGAGTCTGTTTTTACAGCACTTACATTATTAGTGATTAATTATTTTTGCCTTTTTAATGTAAAATATATTTATTCCTTTATCTCCTTATGTTTCTTATATTCACTTACTTGAGATAGAACATGTTTTCTCAGTTTCCTGCTGTGGCTATTGTGCAGTAAGTGTTAATTTTATCAGGGGGAACTTGTAGTAGCTAGTCTCCTCTTTATTTTACACCCTCCTTTCTTTGTTATTCTCCCTCTCCCTTCCTCCTCCTTCCCCTCCCCTTCAATCCTCCACTGTCTGACTCTTCATTTACTCTCCCTTTTGCTCTCCATATTCTTTTCTCTTTTTTTACTTTTCTCTTGATACAACTTTTTCCTTTTTTGTTCTTTCAGCTTGCCTCTCTTCTTTTTCTTCTCTTTCCTGGTTTCCAAAGGTAACCTAAATAGCAGGAAACACCCAGTGCTAGACCTTGGTTCCAGATCTAGCATTTTTCCTGTGTCTTTTGAACATGTCCCTGTCACCTTTTTGAAAACCTTTATTTTCTCAAAGTAAAACAAACACAAGAATACCTGCTCTGCTGCTCTCACAGGGTTCCTTCTTGTATCAGAGGAGATGAGAGGGAGCGGAGGCAGAAGCAGACTTCACGTCAGAGACCAGGGTTTAGAGCCCTTGTTTTACTACTAACATTAATCTGCATATAATTACTTCATTTTGTTTATTGTTTTTTATTCCTATTCTTACATACTTTTTAAAGCTTTATTTCTCCCTTTATCCTATTCCTTGTTACATTTTCCCTTTCCCACCCATTCTTTTTTACTCAACCTATCACTTTTTTAAAAATATTTTTTTATTGATTTCAGAGAGGAAGGGAGAGGGGGGGGAGAGAGAGAACCATCAATGAGGGGGGAGAGAGTCATTGATCGGCTGCCTCCTGCACGCCCCCTACTGGGAACCGAGCCTGCAACCCGGGCATGTGCCCCAGAGGGAACCCTTCAGTCTGCAGGCCAATTCTCTATCCACTGAGCCAAACCAGTCAGGGCTCAACCTATCACTTTTATATCTCCTTTAATTTCTCATGTTCATTTTTGTAATCAGTTATAACTTCCTCCTCTGTCAGCCAATACAAAAATACCTTGAACATTGTTTTTCTTTTCAAACCACTACAGTTGTTTCAAATGTGTCCCAGAAAGGAAAATGTTTACCATTAGAATATATTTCTCCTATAGATTTTTTTAAATTAAAACTTGATTACTTTTTTGCAAGTTGGGCTAATTCAAGATGTTTTAAGTAACATGACTTTTGTTTTACTTAAATTTATTTTTTAGGGAGGTTTCACATAAATGGAATCCTAAACAAATAGGAGAACACCTTCTGCTGAAATCGTAAGTGAAATTTATATTGAAAATTTATATTAATTTTTATAGCATTATAACTGAAAATTTTATTAAATAACTATACGGAAGGAAATTAGAGCAATGAAATATTTGAGGGACTAGAATTTCAAAGGACAAGTTACAGGGTTTAGGAATAAAAATCCTGAACTATTATTATCTTTAAAATAAATCTTTCTAATTTGAAAGGGTGAAATCAAAACCTAATTTTTCTTTGTGTTCTTAGGAAGTTATCAGAGGTCCTCAACTTTTTAAACACAAGTTGCCAAGAAAATTATTATTCTTATTTTATTATTAATTAGAGATAACAAATTTATTTGTATGGTGATGAGCAAACTAAAAAACGTAGTCCTGAAGGCACTCAGTAATTTTACAACATTGACCATTTTCGTAGATTAGAATTTTACTCTTCACTTTTTAATTTTTTTTGAAGATTGTGAATTGGAAACCCCCCTCCAGCTTGCTGGCTCCCTTGGTGGGGCATTCTAGCTCATTATTACTTAGTGATGTTCCATTCACCTTGAAAACTACTACTTGCCAGGACCTGGCCCATAGGGTTAGGTAAGTCCCACCTTGATATTATTTTAATAACTATATTTTGCAGGCTTGCAAAGTTGTAATATTACTCTGCCTAATATTAGTGGTAGGAAACAACTTTGCAAAGCTGTACAATATTGTTTTTTAATAATAAAAGGGGACTTCACTTACCATTGAAGACTGGCTTAACTCTGCTGGGTGGGAAATCTGGGAATGGATAATAATAATATAGGATAATAGCAGAACTTGTTCAGATATCATTGAGAAGGCAAGCAATAGAATGGATCCACACCCTGTATTTTAAGTGTCAGAGTAATAGGCTTCATTACCTATGTGCAGGTAGAGGTCCAAACAATGACTCAAACGAGCCTCCATTTCATACTGCTTTAAAATAAAATCTATGTTCTTTGCAGGCTGTCCCTGTGTTATTATTAATACTTAAGGTTTCATTTCTAATTGTTGAATAAAGATTTTCTGTTACAGGTCTCTGAAGTATCTTTAGGCTATCGGTATTAATAGTTGAAAACCTTACAAATATAACTCAGGCTTGAATATAAATTACGTTGATACATTAAAGTAGATATTAAAAGATCCTATCTAATAAAGAGGGAATATGCTAATTGACCCTCACACTGTCACAAAGATGGCGGCGCCCACAGCCAATAAAGGAATATGCTAATTGACTGCCCCACCCTCAAAGATGGCGGCGCCCAAAGCCACAAGATGGAGGCGCCCAGTCCCCTCAGTCCCGCTGCACGCCTGCCTCCGGAGTCCCCCAGTCCCCTCAGCCCCCTAGCCACCCACGGCTGGCTCGAGGCTCAGGCAAACCTCAGATGGCGGCTGCCCAGCCGTCCAGGGCCACCCGAAGCTCAGGTAACCAGGGCCAGCTGAGGCTTTTGCTGCCGGCCGGGTCCCCTGATCACCCGGTCGCCTCCCGCCCCTGAGGGCTCCCAGACTGTGAGAGGGGGCAGGCTGGGCTGAGGGACCCCCCCTCCAGTGCATGAATTTTCATATACCGAGCCTCTAGTTTAGTATAAGTATCTTGTTTCAATAAGCTGATGTTTGTTTTAATTTCTACAGCCTAACTTATATAGTGGCAATGCCTTTTTATTCAGCAAGTCTGATTGAAACAGTACAGGTAAGCTATTTTTTATGGTCATTTTTTACTTAAAATGTTTTTGGAATATTAAATGTATTATTTTATGCCTGGTTGTATAATAGAGAAATTTAAAACAGTATCCTTTTAAAATTTTATTTTGCAAATACACACATATCAAAGATTATATACTAGCACTTTGCTGGTAAGTATATTTCCTTTGCAAACCTACTTCACACTTTTAGTTTTAATTTATTTTATCCCTTCCGTAGACAGCTGTATACTCTTTATTCAGATATCTCAGAATCCAGCCTATGACTTGCTTTGAATACAAAAAATCCAAAGGGTTGTGGTTTTTTTTTTCAATTTTCTAAGACACAACTCAGAATGGTTATGGCTTGTCATAGGTCAATAAATTAAGCATGAAACATGATAATCATCCTAACAGTGAGAAGGTAGTCTGCATAGTAGTTTACTAACAGCATTCTTATTAAATATGCCTTTTAAGGAACATTTGATGCTATGGTGTGGTTAAGTGCTACAAAAGCTAAAGCAATCTTCTGCTAGTGTTTTACATTGTTTTATTATTTCTAACCACAGGGTGGCGCTCAAGTACATCAAATTCATTGATTTTTTTTCACCATTGGGTTCTTACACTTAAAACTCAGATGAAGATAGTTTAACTTCACCTATACACAAAATCCAATTACTTGTTTATCACCTATCTGCCATCTCCATCATCACATCCTCTAGCATATTATTTGTCTTCAATAAGTATGAATTCCTTCTCTATAAACACCTCAATGGATCAGCCTTTTCTCTCCAAATTACTCTTTTCCGTGTAATTGCTTTTCTGGCCCCATCGTTGATTATTTATTTATTTTCTTTTTTAGAATTGACTTCAGTTAACAGAAGTTAACATCTTGCTACTCAAATACACTTTTCTCTGCTTTTGCACTTGGCATTGTGTTAAATAAATGATATCACCTTTGTTTGGGACTACAGCTTACAGTTATTACACTATGAGATATTCTCATAAATAAGGAAAAAAACAGCAAGAAGGTGATTGTTTAAGAAAAAACAAGCAGCATGATATTAAGTATATCAGAATCACATGTCTGTTTAGATCTGTGACTTTAAACAAATATCTTAACCTTTCTAAATCTTTCTCATTCATAAAATGGGAACAGTATTTTAATAACTGGGTTGTAAAAATTGAGTTACTCATATAAAGTGCTCAGCTCACTATGTTTGTTTGCTTATTTAACCCAGTATCTACCTCTCTTTTTCCTGCTCCAGGTTCTACCTGATAATTGCCTCATTTTGATTTCTTTGGTCTGATTTTCTAGAAATCTTTTTATGTCTTCTTAAGTTTCTCCTCTTGCACATATTCCTCTTCTTTAAGTAACTTCTTTGTCACCTGTTCTACCATACTCCCATACATAGTCCTTGACCCTGTCTGCATTTATCCTGTATTCACCATCCTGGAGAACTCACTCACTCTCATGAATCATTTTGACTCTAATCTTTAAAATGTGAATTAAATCATCATCACCTCAAGACTCAGCGCATAAAAACAATATTGTCTTATTCCCCTGAAAATTATCTTCCTTTTGAGCATCTCCTTTCTTATTAATGTATTATTGTTATCTTCACCCTAGAGACTTAAAACTTTAGTTCTTATTTTTAGAAATGTCTTGATTTTTATATTTCTTTCATCCTTCATAATCAGGCAGTCATTATGCCTTCTTAGTTCTAACTCCAAAACGTAACTGAGATTTGTCTGTTTCTCTCCACTGAGAGGCTACCATTCCCATCCCTTCTTTATCATATACTTGGTTTATTATGTTAGCTTCTTTCTTTCTATTTTACGTCCAGTGGGTTTTTGCCCTCCTGGGAGCTCTTTGAGAACATTCTTCCCTTGAAAAATACACATTCATACATAGATCTCCTGAAGACCTCTTTGGTCCCTTAAATATGAACTTCCTAGTGAGCTGTTGTCTTCATTAACAAACCTTGTTCTAGTCACTGCATTCCACATCAGTGTAAGATTGATGTTCTTCACTTTCAATTCTTACATCCTTTTGCTGATTAAGGATCCACACTGACTCATACTTCCTAAAATCAATTTCAGACTTTTCAGCATAGTATTCAATTAAGGTTTTTATTGACTTCACTTTACCTTTTCAGTTAACCTTCCTTAACTGATCATTTTTTTTAAACATCATTAAATATTTATTGAGTGTCAACCTGTATGAGGCACCATTATAGACCTATAACAGCAAACAAAATAGACAAAAATAGTCTGCCTTCATAGAGTTATATTTTTGTGGGGAAGATAAACATAAACAAAATCAATATAAAGTATACTAGGTGGTGCTTAGTGCTAAAGAGAACAAAAATAAAGCAAGGAAATTAAATAAGATTAATGGGTTGAGAGGAGCAGCTATTGTTTTGTTTTGTTGTTGTTGGTTTTTTTTTTTTTAATATATTTCTTTATTTATTTCAGAGAGAAAGGGAGAAGGAGAGAGAGATAGAAACATCAATGATGAGAGAGAATCATTGATCGGCTGCCTCCTGCACAACCCCCACTGGGGATCGAGCCCGCAACCCAGGCATGTGCCCTTGGCCGGAATCGAACCTGGGACCCTTCAGTCCACAGGCTGATGCTTTATCCACTGAGCCAAGCTGGCTAGGGCGTTTTGTTGTTTTTTTAATCAGAAAGGCCTCACTGAGAAGGTAACGTTTGAGTAAAGATCTGAGCATATGAACTACTTAGATATTTGGGAGAAGAACATTCTAAGCAAAGGAAAAGTAAGTGCAAAGGCCCTGAGGTCAGATTGTATTTCATGTGTTTGAAGAGCAAAAAGGGGGGCAGTATAGTTGAAGCTCACTAAGCAAGGGGGAGAACAGGAGGAGATGAGTACTGATGGTAAGAGGATGATAAATCATAAAGGACATTTTAGGTCATTGTAATAATTTAGCCTTGACTTTGAGGGGCATGGAAAGTCTTTGGCATATTTGAACCAAAGAGTGATTCTAACATGTCTTCATTAGGATCTCTTCCGCTGCTGTATTAAAAATAGACTAGAGTGGGAAAGGATCAGAGATTGGTAAATGGACTAGGTGAGCTGATTTTACTCTGTGGTTTTAAATGTATTATATTTACTGAAAACACATTGATATGTTCAGCTTGAAGCTTTTTTTATCATCTAAAATGTAAACTCCAAGTTTACCCCTTAGACTTAACATTTCTGAACTCTTGATTTCTCCCCAAAATGCTACCCCATCCATATTTCCCAACCCAGTAAGAGCCATTGCTATTCTACTTCCTCTGGCCAACAGGCTTGAGGTTATCCTTGACTTCTCTCCTTCATACCCAAATCCAATGCACCAGTAATTCTTATTGGCTGTAATTTTAGGATAAAAGCACAACTGATGCACTTCCCTTCCATTACTACCTGGTAGTCCATCATCTCTTTTCTGGATTATGTAAGAACTTTTTAACTGGTTTCTCAGCCTGCCCTCTTGTTCTCTTGCACAATAGCCAGTGTTAACCTAAATTATATTTTGTCCATCTTCTGCTTAAAACCAGCTATTTTTCCATCTGATTTTTCCATCTGACTAAAAGCCAAAGTCTACTCAGTGGCATGATATGGCTCCATACTACTTTATAACTTCATTTTATACTTTCTCTTCTTCAATCTTACTATAGCCAAATTGGCTTCTTGCTGTTCCTTTTCTGCCTGTCCATGACTCTGACCTGTATCACAAACTTTGTAATACATATCCTCAAAATTATAGATAGGCAGAAATATTGCAGATGATAATGACATTTATTCAGTGCCTTCCGGCTTTCAGGCCTTTTTTCACTTAATACTCCTAGCAACTCTATGCATAAAACATAGGTGGTACTAATTCCATTTTTATAGAATGGTAAACTGACTGTTAGGAGAAGTTAAATAACTTGCCAATGGTCATATAACCAGTAAGTAATGGAAGCAGGGTTGAAACCCATTTGTAAGAAGTCTAAGCACTATACTACCTCTTTTGGTGTCATGGAGTTAATGTGTTTCAAAATTATTTCTAAGGAGCTTCTTGAGGCCGGGGAAACCAGGTGTGTCCCCACCGACATCTCCTTCTCTATTTTCCTTGTCCAATAAAAGTAGCTTCCACTTTACTGCTATCTGTTTTATGAAATTTCATATGAAAAAAGAATCTAACAGCTAGGTAACATTTGAAGTCTGTAAGCTATTGATGTTTTCCCTTTTTGGTCAGCAAGTTAGTATTTAAAAGGAACCTAAAAAGAGCCCTTTTGTAGGGGCAAAATAAGCAAATATTAACTTCCACTCATTTCATCATTTTTATTTTAGAGTGAGATAATTCGAGATAATACTGGGATTTTGGAATGTGTTAAAGAAGGCATTGGAAGAGTGATAGGCCTGGGAGTGCCTCATAGCAAACGACTACTTCCTCTTCTCTCCTTGATCTTCCCCACGGTGCTGCATGGGGTTCTTCATTACATCATCAGCTCCATCATTCAGAAGATCGTCCTACTAATTCTAAAGAGAAAGACTTATCATGGCCACCCAGCTGAGAGCACTAGCCCAGTGCAGAGTATGCTGGATGCTTATTTTCCAGAACTTATTGCTAACTTTGCTGCCAGTCTTTGCTCTGATGTTATGCTTTACCCCTTGGAAACAGTTTTGCACCGCCTTCACATTCAAGGAACACGCACAATAATTGACAATACAGACCTTGGCTATGAAGTGCTTCCAATTAATACACAGTATGAGGGAATGAGAGACTGTATCAATACCATAAAGCAGGAGGAAGGAATGCTTGGTTTTTATAAAGGGTTTGGTGCTGTTATAATACAGTACACACTGCATGCAGCTGTCCTACAGATTACCAAAATCATTTACTCTACGCTTCTTCAAAATAGCGTTTGAGATATAAGTTCCCGATTAGTCTAAAAGGCACAATCTGGACACTTTGCTATGAAATTGTGAGGGTATAAAAGTGATACTGGGGGGGAAATGGATTATAAGTGAAACTGGTAGAGAAAGCCCATGCTCATTATATTGACTTTTTTTTAAAGGCATAGGTCTTTTAGGGATCAAAAGTATTCCAAATTTGAAAACTCAATAAAAATAATACTCATCAATTAAATTCTAGCTAGTGTAGCACGCATACTGAACTAAAATTGGTCTTGAGCAGAAGCAAAAATTTATCAGCAAACACAAAACAAAATTTTACAGAGCTGAATTTATTCCATCTAACTTTAATATTTATTACATGTTAATTTTACCTTCTTGGTTGATATTGGTATGTCATCCTTAATATATAGTATCAAGAGGTCATAGTTTACCTTCAAGCAAATAAATATGTAACCAATGATAATGATGAGAAGGATTAGATTTGGCAATCTGTAATCAGGAGTTGAAGTTTTAAATTGTATTATCCCTATATAACGTTTTAATGGCTGCATATTTATTACATAAAGCCATTTATGTTCACATACAAAACTTGGAATTTCCTTCCTTTCAACAAATTTTCCACCTTTAGATCAGCTTATTGCATAAGATGACGTCACACACTTTCTGCTTAAATATAAAAATAAAATATTAAAAGCCAAGTTATCCAAAGATTTAAGGCAAACAATATACTTGTCTATATCCAAATACAGCATTTCGGTGCCAGCAACTTAATATTCGTCATATGTTTATAAAGCTTGATTTGCTTACCTAGTTATGTGAATCATCAGGCTGTTTTTAGAGCCACTCTTAACAGAGATAGAAAATAAAATAATCATGACAACTATTACTGTTTCTAAATTTAGAAATTGTGTACTGAAAGGAATGTCACTTGTCTTTCATTTCTGAATGACCTGTCTTAGTGGAGACGCGATTAAAATTCACCTGGGAATTTGTGCCTCTTGCCTTCTGTATAGTTATCATAAATTAATGTCTTCAGTTTTTATTCCAGGTTTGTTTAAAATTTCATACTCCAAACTAGATATACATAAATGGAAAAGCAGGTCTCTCCATATCGCCTTTTGTTTAAACTTGTTTGGATGAATACTGAAGAAAAAATACAAACTTTAAAGGAAGTTTGTCCTCGCTTTTTATGGATGAGGTAAAGAGGTAAATTTCAATAAATAAGCAAAAAAATAATCAGTTTAATAAAAAAAATTATATGTTCCTAAATGGATGAAGCTCTTTGTGTAGTAAAATGATATGCACTTGACTGATCCATCATTAAACATTTTAAAGTTTCATTTCCTCCTGTAAGTGGTCACAGTTTTACTATGAGCCATGTAGCACACTGAAGTTCAGTGACTTTGCACTTACATTTTCCAACCAGATTTATAAATAGATTTATTTTAGTTGCTAAATATCAGCAAAGTGGTTACTTTATGTGATTAATAATGTTGAAATCAAAAATGATATCCAGAAAGTGTGAAACAGTATTTAAGTAGCAACTCTCTTTACTATCCTGTGTTGTATGTTTCTGGGTGGTTTTTCCCCCCAATTACTAAAACATACAAGTTGTACGTTTTTAAATTTCACCAAGAGAGGAAAAATAAAATTAAACACCACTGATCATATGTATTTTATGGTTACTCCTTCAGATTATGGTTTATTTTGTCCAACATATGGCATTTAAATTATATTCATTGCTTTTAAACTACTAAGTAAATTGTTAGATATTTATATGTCGAACTTCCTAAAAATCCTTTTATTATAATCAATGAAGATTATTTCAGACACCAGTTAACTTCTGAAAATTGCAAGTTTCAGAATATTTCTGGAAGAGAATCTGAATGGAATCAAGTATTTACTAGTGGAAATATATGGGATCTTTCACCTAGCTAAAAATTAGGTATTTCAAGATTGATTGAAGTTAGCATGAAGACTCAGTTAGATAACTTTCATTATGAAATCATTATAAGACTAATAGCTTGAACCACACACAAGTAAGGTTAGTCTTGTTTTCTGTCTCTTTGGAAAAAGAACACAAATTAACATCAAAACTAAAATTGAAATGTGGCCAAAAAAAATGAAATGTGGCAAGTTAAAATACTAATTTTTTTTAACCCCTCACCTGAGGATATATTTTACTGATTTTAGAGGGAGAGGAAAGAAGAGAGAGATAGATGAAGAGAAACACTGATCTGATCAAACCCGCAACTTGGGTATGTGCCCTGACTCTTTTGGTGTACTGGACGACACTCCAGCCAACTGAACCACTCAGCTAGTGCAAAATACTAATATTTTTTACTCCATTCCAAATTAGTTGAAATATAAAAATCTTTAAAATTTAAGCACTTAAATGCTGGCCAAATATGTTTAACTGAATTTAGAGAGGAATAAGTGAAATAAACATTGGACATTCTCTTTCTCTTTTTAAAAGTGCTCTATTTCTTTAGTATAGAGGTGCCAAAAGCAAATATCCATGCACTGCATTTCTTTAGGTGATAATAGCTCAGAATAATATTTGTAATTCAGTATGATTAATAGTATTATGAATGAGCATCTATTAAAATATTCCATAGGCCCAATGGTCCTTTCACACAATTGATTTTGGCCATGGAGATGAAGTATAATACGCTTCTTTTACATTGTATGATTTCTTAATTTGAGTCATAGCCAGAAAGCAATTGAATTAAAAACTGAAACATATGATAAATATTAATTTACTTTGTTTAGTGAATTTGTTCATTACTTTGTTCATTGATTTGCTAAATCTGTTTATAAATTTCTTTACCGTGAGGTACCCTTTCTAGACCCTTGAAAAATAATTCCTAAATTTATCAAATTTAGTCAAGCCTCTAAACTTTCAGCACTAGATGCTATGAGATAGTTAAAAACCAGCCAATTTCAAAATGGCTCTGGATTGGGGGATGTGATGTCTTGGTTACTGTTTTCACAAACAAAACTGGAGAGGTAAGGAGTCTCGCTCATGTACCTGACTACTCACAGCTGTCTTTTTAGTACTGGCTTTCTTATAACCGCACAAAATATTCATTTTACCTGTTGGGCACAAATGCTTCAACATTTCTCTGTGTTGATAGATCTGCTCAGAAAATAAAATACTCTGCTTTGATACTGGTCTTTTTCACATGCGATTCTGGAGGATGTTTGCCCTCAGTTTGCTTACTCCATGTTTTAACAAAGGACTACTTTTCCAGCTCTTGAAAGGATAGGCAGGTTTGAATTAGTTATTTCTAATAATACATAAGCAAATAAAACCCCCTTAGTAACAATTCACATTGCACTAGAATTTCAGTGATCTTAATGTTGGCATTTCTGCTTTCTCTTCTAAATTGTTGTACATTTTGCTTGCTAATGTAATGTCTTTCTTTTGAGTCATTGAGAATCACTGATATGGTACCAAGTTGTATAGCACAGTAGCAACAATTTGGGATTTGACAATGACTCATATAATATTACCTCAACTAGAAGAGGTGTTTTATCTGTATGTGTATTTTGGTGTATCTTTTTAAGTTGTTTTTATCTCACCGGTGTTTTAAATCTTTTCAGTAAGTTGTGTAACATGAAAAGATTCAATAAAATGTTGAAATAAAATTAGAATTTTTCTATTACTGAAATGTTGAAATAAAATTAGAATTTTTTTATTACTGATGCTGGAGAACTATACAGGCTGGTGATATAGGGGTTTCAGAATATGTCACCCCAAAATATGCCAGGTTGGCATTTGTTTTAAAGGTACTTGAGAAATAGTGGTGCAAAAAGGACATTGCCCCTTTTTTGCCCCTCTGAAAGTGGATGATAAAGTTACCCTGCTTGTACCAGGGGGGTAGAAGGCACCCTCATCCTACTGGAGACATGGAATTTAGGGCTGAAAGGGCTGTGTAAATAAACCTTGTTAATTCCTCACCATTTACTTTCCTTAGCCTAAACCCCTCTGCCTTGTCAATTCTTCACAAATGGATGTTTCAGTGTCTAAAAGATAATAAAACTTTCTGCTATGTTCACTTCTTTGCGTCATGTTTTATAGGGCTCCTGAATATACAAAGCTTAAATTTTTCTCCTGTTAATTTGTTTTATGTCAATCAAGTTATTAGACTAGCCAAAGAAGGGAAGAAGGAAAATATTTCTACATCTAGAGTGCAAAAGGTTACATTTTTGTAAGAAATGAATATCAAGAAAAAATATATATGTAAAATTAAACTTTTTGCCCACCATTTAAAAAATCCTGTCTTAGTGATGTTTTTATGAATTTGACTCCAAAGGCAAGGGAAAAGAATAAACAAATGGAACTACATCAAACTGAAAAGCTGTACAGCAAACAACATGAACAACAAAACAAAAAGATGTTAGAAGACATTTGCAAATATTTCTGGTAAGGGTTAACATCCAAAATATACAAAGAACTCATACAAGACCACCACAACAAAAATGATTTAAAAAGAATCATTTCTTTGGACAAAGAATCTGAATAGACATTTTTCTAAGGAAGACATATAGTAGGTATACTGGTTAATCGATTTTTTTCAATAGGTGGAGTTACACATATGTTGATATATATGCGATTTGATCTGTATGCTATTTTGTATTGACAACAAGCTTCAAAATTTCATGTCAAATTTTCTGAAGGTGTTAACATCATAGATATTTTTACACTTAAAAATGTCGAATTTCGTGTCCCAAAAAAAGCATTTCCGGGAAGTTTTAATTCATTTATTTTGAAGAAAAGTGCTGCTGAAAAAAGTTACTGTATACTTTGGGAAGCTTATAGTGAACATGCTCCATCTCAAGATACTCGTGAACGCTGGTTTAAACGCTTTAAAAGTGATGATTTCAATGTGAAAGACAATGTTCAGGTCAACCGAAAAAGTTTGAAGACCAACAATTACAAGCATTATTGGATGAAGTTGCATGTCAAACTCAAAAACAACTTGCAGAAAAATTAAACGTTGCTCAGCAAACAATTTCCGATCGTTTACAAGCAATGGGAAAGATTTTAAAGGAAGGAAAATAGGTGCCACATCAACTGAACAAAAGACAAATGGAAAACCAAAAAGTCATCAGTAAAATGTTGCTTCAAGGGCACAAAAGAAAGTTTTTTTCCATCGAATTGTTACTGGCAGTGAAAAGTGGATTTATTTTGAGAATTCCAAATGCACAAAATCATGGGTTGATGCAGGTCAACTAACAACATCGACTGCAAGGCCAAATTGCTTTGGAAAGAAGACAATGCTCTGCATTTGGTGGGATCAGGAAGGTGTGGTGTATTATGAGCTTCTAAAACCAGGTGGAACCATTAATATTGATCGCTACCAACAACAAATAACAAATTTGAACCACGCTTTGATTGTAAAATGACCGGAATGTGCCAGAAGACACGGCAAAGTAATTTTGCTTCATGATGATGCACCATCACACACTTCAAAACCAGTTAAAGACACATTAAAAGATCTTTCCTGGGAAGTATTAACCCATCCGATTTATTTACCAGATCTTGCCCCTTCAGATTACCACTAGTTCTGATCGATAGCACATGCACTTTCTGAGCAGCACTTCAAAATATACGAATAAGTGGAAAATTGGGTCTCTGAATAGTTTGCCTCAAAACAAGAAAAGTTCTATTGGGACGGTATCCACAAATTACCTGAAAAGATGGGGGAAATGTGTAGCTAGCGATGGACATTACTTTTAGTAAAGCACTTTTGATGTTTCTCTAGAAATTATTGTGTTTTCTTTGATTACAAAATCCACATTATTAACCGATAAACCTAGTGGATGGCCAGCAGGCACATGTAAAGATTTTCAACATCACTGATTATCAGGGAAATGCAAATCAAAACCACAGTGAGAAATCAGCTCACACTGTTAGAATGACTGTTATCAAAAAGACAAAAAAGTGTTGGAGAGAATGAAGAACATGAACCCTGGTGCACTGTTGGTGGGATTGTACATTGGTACAACCACTATGGAAACAGTATGGAGGATCCCCCTCAAAAAATTAAGAATAGAATTATCATATGACCCAGCAATTCCTCTTCTAGGTATTTATATGAAAATACTAACTTGAAAAGATATATGCACCGCTATGTTCATTGCAGCATTATTCATAATAGCCAACATATGGAACAACCTAAGTGTCCATTGGATAAAGAAGATGTGATGTATTATGTACA